TTTAAATGAATGTATTGTTTTCTGTCGTCACATCATTTTGAAGTAAAACCTGTACACTACAAGATCCAGGTCACAAAAGTCTGGTACACAAATGTCATGAATGTGTTTTGTGGTCTAATTTCAGTGACTTATTTTTTTGTTGTTTTCAATAATCACGCATAGCTGTTTTTTTCTCCAATATAAAGACTTTTACATACATGCTGCTCATATATTATTGTAGCCCAGTTTCTGCTGAATACAGTGTTATCAGACTTTAGACATTTTTATAAGTAACTGAAAAATACACAAATGTCAGGACATGTCAGAATCTCTTCAGGGCTCCAAAACACCTTCAGACTCCCAGGGGTTAATGTCCTTATATTACCTAGTTCCTCTTTAAACAGCTCCTCATGTTTGCACAGTACCCTTGAGACATGCGAGTCCTTTTTGCCCAGCCTATGGATTCATGGCCAGTCCAGGGCAATTTTCTCCAGCCATGACCGCCCCAGCAGCGATGGAAAATTCCCTTCCACCACATATAACGGCAGCTTCGCAGTCTGCCCATTTATCTGTACAGTGACCTCCAGGACTCCTTTGGTCGGTACCGGTTCGCCAGTAGCGTTTGTTTATAAACAGTCTCAGGAACTATGGAAACTGCTGCACCTGTGTCAATTTCCATATGCACCACTTTCCCGTAATAACGGGGTGACCCAGTACCCCACAGCGCCTCCCGTAATGGACAGTACATACACAGTTGTCTCATCCGATGAGCTGCTATGTCCTGTTTGGGTCTCGTCTGTTTGCACATTATAGACTGATTGTCCCTTTTTTTGTGGTATTTTGTTTTGTTGTAGTGTTTTAATTTATTGTCCACTCTTTTGCTTTTACAAGCTCGTTCCAGGTGACCTTTTTTTATACCTTCTGCACTCAACGTCCTTACTCCAGCACTCTGCTGCATTATGCCCTGTTTTGTCACATCTGTAGCATTTGTTCTGTGAACTCTTTGCTTCAGTGGAGATTTTGTGTAATGTCCCAGTTGTGCTTAGCTGATGAGCCTCCTTAGCAGCTAACTCCATGGACACGCTAATATCAATGGCTTTTTCCAAGGACAACGCCCCCTCAGTTAGCAGGCGTTTTTGGATGGCTTCACTCCTCAGCCCGCAGACAAGCCTGTCTCTGATCATGTCGTTTAGCACCTCGTTGAATTCGCAGTGCTCCGCCAGCCTTTTTAGAGCTGCCACAAACATGGTCACAGTTTCCCCTTCCTCCTGATTCCTCTTATGGAAACGGAAGTGCTCTGCAATTACAAGGGACTTAGGAGAAAAGTGCACTGTCAGGGTGGCTACAATATCCCGGTAACGCTTGGTCCCGGGCTTATCTGGGTGAATCAGACAGCATAGCAGATTGAATGATTATGCTTAGGAATGTCGGCACGATTTTAGTGTCCTCAATACCATTCGCTTCGATAAAATACTCAAAACGTTCCGTGTAAGAGCACCATTGTTCAGTACAGTGGTACCTTGGTTCTCGAACTCACTAGAATTTGAATTTCTTGAAAGTCGAACAAACCAGTTTGACCTAGAACTCGATCTGAATATCAGAAGTCGAACCGTGAATGCTGACCTAATATAAATTGTACACACCAGGAAATTAGTTACACGGCACTTCTCTGAGCGGAAACAGAAGGTAACGCTTCAGTGTCAGCCTCGCATTTGCTGTGTAGCAGCGCTTGTTGGTGATAATGCTATTTTATAGAAAATACTGTATCAGGTAATACACTGTACTTTATATAATTTTGTTAGCCATTGCTCACCAAAAAGTTACGTAATAGTTGTACAAAAATTACAACGTAAAAGTTTGCTATATTCACGAATAAATGAACGAATACAGAGTAATAATAATATTAAACAATGGACAGCACTTCCCTCTGTGCCGCCACTAAAATAGGCATTTTATGGAAAGACAAAGGTCCTTTGTCTGATGACTTAACAGGATATAGTAATTAATTATTTACATGCACCGTTAATGTGAGGCTGGTGCAGGATTTGTATGAGGACAGGGTGACAACAGAGAGGTGTGTAGTAGGAATGATGGACTGGTTCAAGGTGGAGGTGGGATTGCATCAAGGATTGGCTCTTAGTCCTGTCTTGTTTGTAATGGTGATAGACAGGCTGAGGAATGCAATCAGACAGGAGACCCCATGGACTATGATGTTCACAGATGACATTGTGATCTGTAGTGAGAGGAGGGAACAGATTGAGACGAGCCTGGAGAGGTGGAGGGAAGGGGAATGAAAGTCAGTAGGAGCAAGATGGAGCACATGTGTGTAAATCAGAGGGAAGGTGGAGCAATGGTGTGGTGGCCAGGAGTAGGAGCAGTGAAGGTGGATGAGATTAGATACTTGGGGTCAACTGTCCAAAGTAATGGGGAGTGAAATAAAAAAATGAAGAAGAGGATACAGGCAGGGTGGAGTGGGTGGGGAAGAGTGGCAGGAGTGATGTGTGACAGAAGGGTATCTGCAGGGGGTGTCTTGTGTTTGTTTAAATGTATACATACCTTTGATCTGTAGGAAAAGGTCCCTCTCTGAAGTAGATTGGTCGGTCCATTGACCTGTCACTCTTCATGGAAACACAGCTGGGTACAGGTGAGCCTGCTCTCTCCATCAGGACACTGGACAGTGAGAGGAAAAATCCTCATTATATAAATATAATCTATATACTGTGGACATGGTCACAATTAAATCTTCAGCTGTTTAGCCTTCTGCTCTGTCTTCATGTACTTTTATATCCCATGAAGGTCTTGATGCAAACAGGCTTGTTAACAGTTAGTTTTAATGTGAAATAAATTGTCTCACTCAAAGTTAAGATACAGATATTAAAAGTTTAGTATCATTGTTACAGCCTCCTTCACTAGACTTGGCTATTCTTGTTTTTTCTTGTTTATTGATTAATTTGTTTATTTATTAATTTGTTTGCTTGCACTCTACTTCTTCACTATTTGTGACCATTTTCGATAGGAGAGATGATTTATTGCTTTCCTCTATTATGGAAGAACTGGCTGTTTATGGCAGAAAAAGGAGAAGAAAGAAGCTACAGAGGTATTTTAATAATGTGGTATTGGAACTGCACTGTACAGCAGCAGAAAGCCCTGCTGAGGGTAGTGTGCACAGCAGAACGCACCATGAGAACCTCTCTACCAGCCCTGCAGAGGGTAGTGTGCACAGCGGAACGCACCATGAGAACCTCTCTACCAGCCCTGCAGAGGGTAGTGCGCACAGCGGAACGCACCATGAGAACCTCTCTACCAGCCCTGCAGGACATCTATGCCGAAAGGTGCAGATCCTGGGCCACCAGGATCACTAGGGACTCCAGCCATCCCGCCCACAAACTGTTCAGGCCACTGAGGTCAGGGAAACGCCTCTGCAGCCTGAAGTCAAGAACTGAATGGTTTAGGAGGAGTTTTTACCCACAAGCAATGAGACTCCTCAACCACAGCACATAACGGACGATACACACATTCTACTACTATCCAGTTCCATAACTTATAAAATATTTGCATATCTGCACTTTATAGCAAGATTTATATCTTCACGGTGCAATTTATACTTTATATTTATACTTTCACAGTGCAATGTTATGTTATGTATACCTATGTGTATTATATATACTATATGCACTTTATCTTTCTGTGATGTTAGTACTTTCCTTTGTATGTACAGTATAGCACAGCCAGGGTACTTTTTGCCAGAAAAAGCATTTCACTGTATGTTGTAGCAGCTATAACTAAATGTGACAAATAAAGAATCTACATCTATATCTACATCATAAATGCACATTCACCTTTGATTTGTAGGAAAAGGTCCCTCTCCAAACTTGATTGGGTGGCTCATTGACATGTCACTCTTCATGGAAACACAGCTGGGTACAGGTGAGCCTGCTCTCTCCATCAGGACACTGTGGACAGTGAGAGGAAAGATCCTCATTATATAAATATAATCCATACAATGTGGACAAGGTCACATTAAATCTTCAGTTGTTTAACTATCTGTTAATATGATGATGCTCATGATGCAATCAGGCTTGCTTACAGTTAACTTTAATATGAAATAGTCTCACCTAAAAATAAGATTTCAGTATGAAAGGTTTAGTATCATTATTACAACCTCAGTTGCTAGACTGGGCTGTTGTTGCTTTTAATTCCTGTTTGTTGAACTATTTGCTTATGTATTTGTTTGTTTATGCTCTACTTAATTATTTATGACCATTTTTGATAGGATGGATGATCTGTTTGTTGCCTCTAGTATAAAAGAACTGTCTGACTGTGGAAGAAAAAGGAGGAGAAAGAAGATGCCGAGGTCATTTTATTCATCTACACACATTAACATGTTCCACACTGAGCCAGTCATAGCTAGGAACCCTTTCTGCTTTTATATTATAGCCTGACTATAGACCAAAAGAGACATGCAGCTAATGGGCTGTAACAATCATTTACCATAAATCACAATATTCTTCACAACACGACCCTGACAGTGTTCCTGTTTTATTCGGCTATTACTCCTATGATCACTGCTATTTACAATTCATTAAATAAAAAAAAAATACTCAATGCCATATTTTTGAGAATATGTATTTTTGGAAAATATTGTCACTTCTGCTGGGAAATGCAAACCTAGATGCTGTAGGAATGACAACACTGTATTCCATAAGTGGGAACACCATAAAATTAACCTCAAATGAGATTCCCCACAATAAATTTCCCAGAGTTCCCCATAATAAGTTTTACTGAGCACCTATCAGACTCCTACTGTACTGGAAATCTTTTTATAAAAATATAAATTATAATCTTAGAATTTTCAGAAAATCATCTTGTGCCCCAAAGATGTCTTGAAAAATTGATGCAGCTGCTCTAGGTGGCAGCAGAGGATAATGTCCAGGGAATACATTTAAATGCAGATTTTTAAAGGAAACTACATTTAATGAATGATAAGCATGAATCATCTACCCTACATACCCGAATCACTGAACTCTCAAGGAAATTTATTAAGTTAAAACTGATTAATCTCTTTCAAAAATGCTGGGAAGATTTTTTTATGTCGGTTTGAAAAGCAGTTCAGTCAGACACAGTTTCTGTCTTACCTCTCAGTTCTCTTTGTTTTACACTCCACAGGGCGGCTAATTTCAGAAGCAGCTCCCCCCATTTTTGTGCCAATCCAGACCAGATGACTCCTGCTGGGGCTTCTGTGAAAATGAAATTGCTCCACCGAAATTGCACCAAACTGTGAACCCAAAACTGAGGTTTGTGCTGATACATGAGTTTTGTTAAAAATACACTGGAAATACACTTAATGTAAATCCTGTCTTGGACATATGATCACATAGCTCAGGCTAATGTAACCTGCATGGCCACGCTACTGTTTTGCACTGGCTAGTCTAGAAAAGTCACACTGTAGATTGACAGCAATTGGTTAGTTATTATTCTTCATTATAGTTACATCTACATCACAATGACCAAGCAGTTTCAGCACTATGGTCTGTAATACTTGGTTTATGTTGGCCTCAGCTGGGGCCCTGAATAAGTTGGGTTATCCTGCCCCCCCAGAGACGGGCTTGCTAGTACTCAACACTTTACACTGAATTTACACATGGGGTCTCCATTCTGTCACTCTGACACGTTTCATACTGTATGTAGTATTACACTTACTAAAGTAATTGAGGGCTGAATTCCAGGGATTTTGTGACATAGGTCATTATCTTATATTTGAATAATTACGAGAATTCCGTGATGAGTTGGTGCCCCATCCTGGGTTATTTTCCCTTTTGCTCCCGTAGCTTCCAGGATATATTCTGGACTCCCGCAACCCTGCATAGGACCAGTGGTTATAGGAAATGGATGGATGGAATTACCGCAACCATGGGTGTCTGCAGCTGTATGCCTGTATGCACTGTACGTACCTTTTCGGCATTTAGATTTGTTGTTATTTAGCTAATGTTACATGCTTTTTTTGGCTTCACTTAGAATCGAGATTGCAGTTTTCTCTCATGATTCTTGAGCAATATATTTTTCCCTTTATTATTATTTTGAATTACAGAATATTTTGTCCTTATAAAAATGGAACAAACATTAGGTGTTTTACCATTGAAGGTCAGAAATCTAATTCCTAGTTCCAATTTCATGGACTGTCTTGACTGAGTACTTTTGTAGTTCCTGGTCACTTCCATGTGTCACTTTGTCACCACACAACAGGAACTGTGACCTTTATGCTAAATAGGTTTAACTAAATTGGTTTAACTTCTCACATAATTTCATATAAAATAATGAGTGAAAAACAATAGGGGTCCTGCAGCTAATGTTGCTTTGACACCTAACTACATCGCCAGCCCAACACAATGTGTCACATCGGGGCCTGGGACCACGCTCCACAGCGGAAGCAACACGGAGAGGGACAGCCCCTCAGTTTTAAAAGGGCGGTCCTGACCAGCATTCCTTACGAAGTATTGTTGCCACTGTCTTAATGTGCCTTGCTGAGCGGTCTATTGTCTCCTGTCTCTCTCTCCTGCCCCGCATGCCCTGCCTGCCCTGTCTTTGTCGCCTGCCTGTCCCGGACCTCTTGTCATCCTGCCTCCTGTCCTGCCTGTCCCCCTGTCCGGTGTGCCTGTGTAGAATTGACCCCCTCGGCTTTCGACCTATTCGCTACGTCCCTGACTATGCCTCTCGTCTTGCCCTTCGGACTTGCCAGCTTTCGGTTTATTAATAAAACCATTATCTCCCGCATTCTGGGTTCCGCCTCTGGTGTTCTGTTGAGTCTGACACAATGCAGGATGAACAATTAGTTTATTTGTTTTTTATTATTTGTTAGTTTTCTGGGGTATCGACCACACAATAAAAAAAATGTCTGTGGGACACAGACTTTTATTTATATTTTATTTTTATGACCCTTGATATATTTATAATTCATTATTAAATCTAGAAAGCAGATCAATCCTTCAATTTCCACAGAATAAAAAAACAATTTTACACTATTCCGCTACGAAGGGCTGGCGAGTTTCGGAGCCAGCACCGGTGATATTACATAAAAGTAAAACCTGTTACTGATCAAACTTTCCAATGCAAAAATACGGAGATGCAAACAATAAGGTATTCATTACTGCATTCGATGTAATCGAGATACAGGAACTATTCCATCTGCTCAATTTTTGCTTCACTACTTTCTCCTTTCCCCACACTCCCATGTTTTCATTGGTGCTTGTGGACAACCAATCAGCAAATTTATAGGTATAAGGCTCACCCCAGTTGTTCATGTTCAAATGAGAAGCATCTAGTCTGGAGTAGAGACTAAAAAAAGGTTCCAGAATTACCACTGAGGAACTACAATTGGACAGAGATCCTGTGATGGGAACATGACAGTTCCTGGTTCCTGAAAAAATCCTGGTTCTTGGAAACAGTTCATGCGGTCAGAAAGTACCTAAAATGCAGATATACACAATATTTCTGTACATGGGTCCATTATGGCTTGGGCCAGATGACTCCTGATGGGGCCTTTGTGAATACCAAGCATAAACAGATACATACAGGGGTTGGACAATGAAACTGAAACATTGCCCAATGTAGTGTTTGAATTTTCATGCCAATATATGCACAGCCTGTTGGCCAAACTTCACTGATTGCACATTCTATCAGTAAGAACAGAGTGTGAAGGTTGAATTAGCAGAGCAGTAGCAAAGCTCTACATGAAATGCTTCACTCCACACAACATAACTTCAGACATTTTATACTATTAGACATATTAAATTCAAAAGAGGGCAAATTGTTAGTGTGCGTCTCACTGTACTGAGAACCACGGTATCCAGGGTAATGTTGGCATGCCACCACGAAGGACGGACCATATCCAACAGGAGTAATTGTGGACGCTAGAGGATGCTGTCTGAAAGGGACGTCCAGGATCAGTGATGGTCTGAACTGAAATACCATGGCATTCCATAAGCCCAGGACTTGTTCTAGATGTGTGTGTGTCACTGCCAAGGACAACTAAACCATTCTGGAGGACCATGTTCACCCCATGGGTCAAACATTGTACCCTGAAGTTGGTGCCATGTATCAGGAAAGACTGGTGACAGAGTGGTTTGATGAACGTGAAAATGAAGCTGAACATCTCATATGGCCTGTACAGTTGCCATGAATATTATTCATTCTCCAATGTTTTGTGGTGTTGGTGTAGTTTTGTATGAAATTATAAAGCTTAGCTTAGCTTTTTTTGCATCTCCCATGCTTATTTAGCACGAAGGTCCCAGTTCCTATTGTGTGGTGTGAAAGTGGCACATGAAAGTGGCCACGAGCTACAAAAGTCCCTGGTAGAGACAGTCTGGGAACCTGAACCAGGAACCATGTTGCAGAACTTCAGTATGAAAGCACCCACAGACAGACAAGGGGAAATTAGCACAAAGTAAATCATGATGTACACTGTGTGAACAGCAAACAAGTGTCATTTTGGTTTTAGGTCACTGATGCTCTGCTGAACAAATCTATGTTTTAACATAATATGTATAATATTTTAATATGTTGTTTGCTGGGAGAAAAAACAGAATATTTTGGGCTTTAGGGTTGAAGTTCGCTGTTTTTATAGGCCTACCCAAATTGTACTTTTTTGTCCAAAATAAACAAGGGGCTACAAGTTAGAATTTATTTAATTATCCTACATAGCTGATAGATATACATTTTATAGTTGGGCACGTAGCTATGTAGTCAAAATATGGGCTTGAACGCCCGTACCTGCCGAGAAATTTGTTTGAGAAATTTGTTGTCAAGTCTGATGAGACAAACAAGCAACCTCAACCCTGAAGACAAGCCCAAAATAAGTCCACAGTCAAAGTAAGATGAAGAAATCAAGCCGAAAAACAAGCCCACTGTGCACAGAAAGATGGAGAAATCCCATAGCACCTGCAACATTAAATCACCGGCGCCGTCATTGGATATAAGTGTGTAATACATGCTTATTTTATTATTGATTGTATCTGTTAAATATAATCTTACCTTGAAATATGAAATGTCTTTATATTATTCCAGAATCTTATCCGTGTTTCTTGACAAAATGGAAACTCCAGCTCTAAAATACTTTCACTTTCATTTACCCACAGAGACTCCCGCTGTCCCGGGCCTCATACAGCACAGGCTGGCAGGGCGGCTCACAGACACCTCCTCCTCTGTCCCCCAGCAGCACGTCCAGAGCAGAGCAGCCAGACACCAACTGCTGGGCACCTTTCCAGTGTTTTATCTCTCTGTTCCTGGGCTTGGCTGAAGCTGCCCCTTTGCTTTCAGCCTAGATTCGATATTTTAACTTTCTGGTGGCAAATTAATAATCACTGTGAACCTGGTCTCCTGACTGTCCTTCCTGACACAATCAAATCTGCAATTATGTTCTGTCTAAACCTGACACAGTCTGTCTGTAGCTGCACATGCCTGCATGTTACAACTGATACCACCTTATAGCTGCAAATCCCATCAGCTTTTTGCTGTAGATCTGCTTCATCTGCAGAAAAAGCAAACAAAAGACTAACAAAAGTCTAAATGGACAAAGAGATTAATTCTCAGTGTAACTCCTACTTTTCTGCATTCTACCCAGTTTCTATCTACATCATAAAATTGTAGGATTATATGGGAAGAAGCGGGAGGGAAATGTATGTTTGGGGGAAAACTATGTCAGTATCTGTTGTACTCATAAAAATTAAGTTAATGTTTGCCGTCAAGTGGGATTTTATTGTCACTCTAACCATATACAGCACACTGCATACAGTGATGTGAAATAACGTTTCTTGGATTGCAGTGCGAGGTACATATATACATAAAGTGCATAGACAGGACAAGTGCAGGAGTGAGGGACACATTAACATCACTGACACACAATGTAGATGTAAAGACAGATGGAATGTTTCAAATGGCCAATTATGGAGCAGCAGAGTGTTGTGTAGGAGTAAAATATAATATTAAAGATAAATATAGTAAACAGTGCAATAATGTGCAGCAGGGGGTGGACAGCATGGGCCTGTCTGAAGTCAACAACTGTCTCATTCTTTTTATCCACATTTAGAGACAGATTGTTGGACTTACACCAGTCTGTCAGTTGCTGAACCTCTATCCAGTCTGTTCATGTTAATATAGACCATGCAGAGAGAGTATGCAGTACAGTCAGCCTCACGTTGGTGTGACCAAGACAGTTTCTCATTCCAATAACGATAATTCTTTTTGAAGACCTTTGAAAGAGCTTCACATTCTACAGGCTGAAAAACACAGATCACAGGAATCATGTTTCTTAGAAATTATGCAATCCAGAAACCTTGAACTTTGTATGGTTTTACTCAGAATGATTAGCGGAGTGTTAAAATTCCTGTTATTGTCCCTCATAATCATAATACCCTGCTGATGTTGTCTCCACAGTGAGTGAAGTCCATCTCCCACAAGTAAATTCCTTTTACTCACATCCCTGTTTCTCTCTGTCTCCTTCCAGTTACCCAAGACACCATCCTACCAGTATTAGTGCCCAGGACCAGAGCAGAATTCTTACACTGTGAGTCTGTTCACACACACACTTCTCTCTCCCTGTATGAGGTGGAGTGTGTTTTATTGTGTTTCGTTTTCTTCTGCTAGGGGAGCTTCTCTTTCTCTCTCCCTCTGCCTCCTGGCCTTTCACATTAACATGACCTATTTATGTCAGGAGCTTTTGAATCTGTTTGCAATGTGCCTGCTGATGTTTAATATTATTTTGCTTATCATGTTGTTCTCTGAGGCATCCTTGTGTGAATATGACCTTCTACACATGAACGGCTAAACATACATTTATTTATATATTCTTGTGTAAATGCAAAGCTTTAATACATACCAAAAAGTAAACACTCTTGTTTAATATGAGGAGTGAATGAGACCAAACCATCACCTTCTGATCTTCTCCTCCATCAGATTCCTGTCGGCTCACACTGGACCCCAACACAGCAAACAGAAACCTCCATCTGTCTGAGGGGAACAGAGTGGTGACATGGAAGAGAAAGACACAGTCATATCCTGATCACCAGGAGAGGTTTGACTCCCCCAAATGTTGTGTACAGAGGGTCTGACTGGGCACTGCTACTGGGAGGTTGATAGGAGCAGGACTGTGGTCACTATAGCGTGTACCTGAATCACAGGGCAGGAACTCTGTCCTTCTACGGCGTCTCTGGTTTATATCCAAGTGTATCTCCCTCTGGATCAGTGGACTGTGGACCTTGGACCAAGACATCATAAGATATTAAAATTTCTGAAAATGAAAATGACACTGTAATGATTACAGGGAGAGGATCCAAGTGCAGAGATGGCTGCTTTAATGAAACAGACACAAGCCAGAACAGGATCCAGGAGACAAAACGCAGGTACAAAAGGTCGTTAATGGGAAGGTGATCAGTGAGGCGACCAAATCCTGAGAATCAAACAGGCAAGAATCGTAGGTCCAAGGAACAGAAAACATGGGTCACACACAACACAGTAATGGATATGATAAGGAACTCTGGGTACAGTGCAGATACTCAATACCTCAGTACTTCACAGTGGGCTAGTGGAGTAACTGCGCTGTATAAACACTAAGTGCCAGTCATGGGAAATGAACTGCAGCGGGTTAGAACCCCGGGGATGATGATCGGTGTAGGCGGGACCGTGCCGGTGCGGCTTGGCACAGGTGTGGTTGATCCAATGCGGGCGTGACAGACACAGGTGCTGTGAAAGTCAGCTCTGTTAGCTGACAGTGTTCAGTTATGTCTAGTACATTTCATACAATCTCAGTGATGCCACATGAACCAGTAACATGTCAATGTGAACAAAGATACTGAATAACCTTGTCAGGGTTAAAGCATCACCTGGGGATTTTCTCATACAGGGACCTAAACAGCAGAGGTGGCTGGACGTCCCAACAAGCATTCGGAGAGTCTAAGTGAATTCCCTGCATACTAGCAGTGTGGTCATTTACAGTTTTTTCCAATTGCTAACACACTAAAATCTAATGTAAAGCTCAACTGCAGAAACTGACACTCAGAGAGCAAAATCTCTCCTCACATTTGCTATATTCAAAACACAAATCACACCTTTGAACACAATAAGCAATTAACTTGACTTCTTTTGCATTAGAGTACACACACTTTCCTACAGAAAACACAGGAATCTCACACCAAGACACTTTTAGCCATTTCCAAACACACCCAATCAGAAAGCCACACCCATGTGCCCATTAGGCTAAAACAAATGTCACCTGGTCAAACACCTGACTGCTTATTAGTTAACTCAGCAATCAGAATGTGAGAACTATAAAACTCCACAGATTTACCAACACTAAAGAACAATGGAAGCCGGAGGGAGAGGAAGAGACGTTAGAGGTAGAGGACACGTAAGAGGTGGAGGAAGAGGAAGAGGTAGAGGTAGAGGTAGGGGTAGGGGTAGGGGTAGGGGTGCACAGAGAGGTGAAAGAGGATAAAGACAAAGAAGACAAGCACTCCAATGAAATTCGGGCAACATTAGTCAACCATGTTATAAATCATGGATTGACAATGAGAGAGGCTGGACAGAGAGTCCAACCCAACCTGAGTCGATTTACTGTTGCTTCTGTCATCTGTACATTTTGACTTGAGAACAGGTATGATCTGTAACACCCACTCTGTATATATACAGCAATTCAAAGTATCTATGTATATTGTATATAGAGTAGGCTAATACTGCATTCTATATTTACAGTATATGTGTATGTGTTCTTTACTTGTACAATACTACTGCATAATCTTCATTATAAGCAAGAGAGGCTGCATACCAATATATACATTGTATACAATATATATAAGGACTGAGAGACAAGTAGGACGTGGTGGAAGAGGTCGGATGTTCACAGAGGCACAGGAGGTAGAGATCATAAACATGGTTTTGGCCAATA